GGTGTATAGAAATCCACAGTACATCCCCACTAGAGCCTAAAAGTCTGCTAGAGACTAGGCTGTTGGAGTGTGCCTACACAGCAAAATAGGTAGCGCAGTTGAGAATTGTTTTGTCGTGTGTAAGTTGAAAATGTTCGCAGAAAAGTCGCCATGTACACTCTTGCCATCTGCAAGGCCATTGCAACCGAGGAAAAATAACTTCTTTGCCCTTTTCACGTTTTACATGCAAAAAAGAGAAGTTTTACTTACCCATATACTGCAATGTTACCTGCCTTGGCCCTCTGAAAAAGTGCGATATTACCACCTTCTACATGACAGGAAAGACGTATATCTCTGAATAATTAATACCCCACTAATATATCGTTGACAGTAATCTTGGTGTTGATAGACGAGAATATAGATCATCTACAAGTCCATCTTTAACTGCCACTTTCAATCAGCAATTACTTAATGGTGGTTGTGTTCAGGGCGGGCTAGTCACGGAAATGTGGAGGACAGAAAAGGGATACAGAGGTGGGTAACAGGGATACAGGTTGCGAAGCTGGCAGTTTTTCTTTTAAATTCATTAAAAGTCATGATCAAGTATTTATGTTTGTCCATTGTAATGTTCTATCCGAAGTGTGTCTCTCCCATCGCCTAAATTTACATGCATTTACGTGCATACACGGATGAACACACCGTTACGCAGGCACACATACACGCGCGCACATGTACGTATGCACACACACCTTCACACACACACACACACACACACACACATACACACACGCACGCACGCACGCACGCACACACGCGCACACGCGCACATACACACACACACTAACGAGCAAACACACACGCACACACACCTTCACACACACACACACACACACACACACACACACACACACACACACACACACACACACACACACACACACACACACACACACACACACACACGAGACGACGACACACACTACACGACNCACACACACACACACACACACACACACACACACACGGCAGGAGCGCGCGCACACACACACACGCCAATGTGCACACTTTTGATTCAAACTTAAACTCCTCCAGAGCATACAGGGCACACACCCTGCTTCCTCTCAAGTGCGCTATTAATAATTTATTACTCGCTAAAGTACAAACTCCAGTTATCTCGACACTGATGTGAAATATTGTGATCATCAACTTGGAAATTCCGATCAGTCACACCGAATAAAAGGATAGCGTGCAGCTTTGGCATTAACAAAATTAAACTTGCCGCAAATGAAGTATTTATCAATCATGATCATGCGACAGAGATGGTTAGTTGTGTGCTCCATTGTTCAAATGCAGGGAAACCATTGTGATCCTGCAGTTACTGTCAGTAGTCCATTGTCAAATATCTGCACGGAATAATACCCATACATCTCTTAAGCTACGTCATCTAAGGTCAAATATTTCGCATTCATTTAGCCTTAGGGAGCTTGAAGTACGTCTAATATATATTCAACGGTGAACCTGAGTATGTAACGAAACGTTTCAACTAAATAGACCAATCTATTTGCGATCAAAACCTTTAGCTTCTAGGCCATCAAGGTCCTTGATAATTACGACTCCATGACAATGCATGAAGTCAAGATGAAGTTTACTGTTAAATAACGTTCATAGGAAGATTTGCACTCTGCTCTTAATCGAACAATCACGATAATCCGGGTTTATTTCCCCCCGCTCTAAGCCCGTGTCCCGGGGGGAGGTTGCGGTCAGGCCGGGGATGTCGGAGCGGAGCGGAGTTGGCAGGCGACTGTCAGAGTCCGCGGCTCAGTCACGCAGCTCGGCCCGCCGCTCACACAATCTGCACGCGATAATCGAGCGCGGTGACCTCATCAACCCCGATCTCCGCACAATACCAGACCGACACGACGGCCGGGGGAATTGTACATGACAGCCAACCTCCGGCGAGCAGTTGTTTGATAGCTTCGGCCTAGGTTTTTTTTCAGCGTTTTCAAACGTATCTCTGGTGGTGTGCATCTTTGCTGTTTATACTTAGCTTCTACAAGTACTTCGCTAATAGTGGCACGCGTGTCCCCGTCACTTGTAGTAGTATTATAATAAAACAGTAAAGATGTAGTCTAGAGTGATGTACGAAACAATGAAAGAACACACGAAAACCACAGCTAACTACCTCATTCTCAGTCAGTCAGTCACTGATGAAAGTTAGTGGATGTTCAGTCTGTAACGTCTGACTCTTTACAAGATTTATCAGCTGTCTTACCGGCAAAATGATGATATTTAGAAATTCAACGGTTGCATGGAAATAATTCTGAGGTTTGATCGATAAGAAAAAAAAAGACTCAAACACAACTTTGTGAGACAAACTTTGTGAGCCAAAAGTCGATGAATTTTGTGTTCCGACTTCGCCCTGTATGCTTCATCGGAAAACTTGATACTTTTTAAGACCGAATCTCGCTACAGCCCAGCATAGACGACGGCTATTAGCATGGCAAGTGCGGAATCGTTACAATGAATGAAACTCTTGATGAGTTGCAGAACACATACACGCGCAGTACAGTGTATCATTATCACGATGGGCTATGGCCACAAGTTCTGTTCCAGTCGATGCTACTTGTATCGTTGTTAACTGGGGTAGCTATAGAAGTGCCTTTACAACGCCATTAGTAGGCACTCAGCGATGTCAAGAACTCTACTCAGACTACTGATTGAAGCTGTAGACACTAAGGAGACATGGCCGCAGAGACATGTGTAAAGACACGTGGCATTGTCTGTGATAAAGCCAAGGACTTTCTGACAATAGATCTCAGGCACCTATTATCATGGCTGGTTTCCGTGAAGGGGAAGACAGATACAATGGGGGAGGCTCCTGGCCAAGTCTTCAATGGTTTTGCAACAACGTCAACGGAGGTGATTTAACAGGTGAGCTGGATTGCTGTTCACGATTTTAGAACAGCCTAGTTGATCCCTGTGAATAGCTTCATCACGTTGGCTTTCAGGTGAAAGTTATTTTGGGCCTCTGCCTGCGAGCTTCCCGCTACTGAAATTTTCAGTATCTTCTCAACTGCCTTGGCCTTCATCAAGAGTGCCTGTCAAAATTGTAACATTAAGGGAGCAGAATTTTAACGTATTTCTAGAGTTCTGAATCCTAGATTATGAGTGTCCGTGGTAAAAATTCCTTGGGGGCATGTTGGCCCTGTAGCCGAGGATCTGGCGTGTGTGTAGGCTCTGCAACATCCTGTATGATGAGTGTATCGAGGCAAGAAAATACAGTAGCAGTATTAGGGTTTCTCCGGCGAGTGCAAATCGGGAAACTTGAGCTAGTATCCACTAGACTCCACGTGAGATGCGCTGATAATAGAAACTGCACTAAATACGGTGTTTGATATTGGCCAGGGAAATAACATTGCCCGTGCACCAATGTACGTTCATTTGTAGTGCGGAAGTTATTTAACCTGTACAAGAGCGCACCGTGCGGAAGTAGTGTAAAACGCAGCATAGCTAGCCGCTTTTACCCGACGAAAACTTTGCTAACAACGTTTGGGGGCAATGTTTGCCGACACCGTCCTGTAGAGAAGGTAGAGACCATAAACTCGCGTGTTGTACCTGTTGACCCTTGGATCCCAGACAGAGATCCCCGCCCCCGAAATTGCCATTGAAGTGGAAAACCAGACATTGGGCAAATACTGCCGCAACCTTTGTGGTTTACCTGAAGGTCAATACGACCTTCATGTCGAGCCAAAGTGCGAAGGATCCAATCCGATCAAGTAAAACACAGTTTACTTCGAAATAAATCTAAGCAAATTTCGGTTTATATCAGCTGTTTTCCTACGTCGTTGTGTGTTCTACCATAAGATTCGGACAGCAGACTAAGAAATTTAGAATGTGACCGTTGGTAGCGGAAAATAAAGGTATTGCGTCTCTTCGATGTGCAGCCAAACCTTTGGCGTGGTTGTTAACACGTGAAGTTATATCCTGTATCTTACAAGGAAGGTCGAAGAAAGGTAGAAGACAGCAACAAAGGAGTGCCTTTGTTTAGTTGTTCCCTGAGAACACCGTCACAACTATTCTCGAGATATTCTTGACTTATTACAAATATTGCAGAGCTAGAGACGTGTCCGGGTGCGTGGCAGTGCAGAGTAACTATTGTGACATAGTAGTACAATAAGCTTTATTTAAACTCGAGAGCTTGTTCGGTACATACATATAGTTGCAGTACATCTACTATACTTTTTATTAACTCATTACATCGGCTGAAACGCATTAATTTGCTCTTACAGATCCGTTTTCCACTCGGTGGGACGATCAGGTGAAACCACCTGTTCTGATCACGTGATGGCTCTGCTCTGTCTGGTAACTGTAAATTTTTTTTCAATCCTTCCACCAAAGCTGGCTACTTTTACCCTTTCAGTGGAATTAGTATACTTTACTAGGATTACCATAGAGTCTTAAACTGACGTTATGTCCCCCTCCTCTCGTCGAACAGCAATGGTCAGTCTCTTTATAGATTTATGACGTAATTGTGCCTCACGTCTAATTTGTAGCACGCTCTGTTCATGCGGTGTTCACGTGAAACGAACCTTCACCTTAGCTGCCTCCTACTGGTAGATGTAAATTTAATCATTGCGAAAAGTTCAATTGGCATGTAATGTTTAACATTTGCCAGCCGTTTCGAATGATACACTTCACTCACAGAAGCCAAACAAACATTTAACTGTGAAATGCCCCATATTGAAAAACAATGTTCCTTAACATCGTTTGAATTGGAATTACTGTTTTACCGCTTCGTGAGTCTTCTCTCATTGAAACTTTCTGCGATGGTAGTGAACATTGCCTTGTATCCTCCACAGGGGGCCCTTAGATTAACACAACACAACATACAATGCTATGTCTAAAGTATTATCATTTTACGTGCTGTAACAAGCAAGAATCCAGTACGTTACGAATAGTGCAGGACATAAATCATAAGTTCTGTTCTCTCTCTTTCTTTTACATGCGCGCCATGAGCCAGTCACGGCGAGGAGACGCACGCGACACCGTGCTCGTGTTGGACTTTGCCCCCTGGAAAAGCCAGACATGGTGGCTATTGGCAAAGGCTGACGACACCTTTACAACTACTTACTACCCGGGTTTGCTGTGTAAAGCAGCAGGTAAACCCGCCATAAACTGACCAAAGGTGAGCGGAGACTGACCTTAACGTCTGGCGAGTACCGTGAGCGAGCAAGACTTGTCTGGAAAAAGTCCTCGGTAACTTTTAACCATAGAAAAAAGTTTGACGACGGAAAATAATGCGTGTTTTCTTCACTTTTCGGTATTTATGATGTTGTGGTTCGACACAAAGCTGGAAAAGGCAACTAGAAGCTGGGACAGGTGGTTTGTGGCTGACAGGTAATGTGTGTTTTATGTTTGGTCTTCCTTGGGTGATAATCGTTGATCCAGAAGACTTCTCCGCGCTAAATGCCTTGCCTAGGGCCTCGATACAAACTTCTTCCCCCGATCGTGTTGAGGGTGAATGATAATACTATGCGGTCAGTTTTGTATATACTTGTGTTGGGAATAGAAACCGAGGCGTTACACTTGCACAGAAGACGAAATTCTAAAGAAATGGACAGATGTAAAGTAGTCACAGTGAGATAGTGGTATATACATGTATAAACCGGGTAAACCGACATTTACTGCTGACGATGGTCAATTACTCACAGTATTGTGAAGGTGGCCCATTCAATTATGGTTTTCTATCTTTCATTTTCTTCAGTAATGTTTCAGTAATGATGCGTTACTATCGGGTATACTAGTACTGTAGCCATACTATCGCCGTGCTATCTTTTGCTGAAGCCTAGAGATGAAGCATGGGAGAACACCTCAACATTACCATTACTACGTGGTGTATTGTATCTTCTCCTTGTTTGATGTTTGTCCTAGAAGCCTGGGCCAATCTCTTTTTGTTTGTTTGTTTGTATGTATGTGATGGGAGTGCATTTTCTATGTGTTTGTGCTGCAGAGTGGGGTTCTGGGTTTCTTTCTTACAGAGACTCTGAAATATGGCATCCACTTCAATAGATTATATACAATTATAGCGTTTACACAATAAGGCGTACAGACGTGAAGAAGAGTGGGCGGGATATTCGCGGTACTTTTGCTAGGTGCATACTATAAATCGTTACTGAGCAATATTAAAGTTCAGTACAACTGTCTAGAAGATGACTGCCGCCATTTTGTTTTGGACGAGAACTCAGTACACCAACAAGGAACAAGACCACCGCCACAGTTTAGATCCTATGTTCCACCGGTTATCCAGTTGTGTCTTATTCAGTATGTGATGTCCAAAGGATGTTTTAGTTACAACTTTGTGTGCTTTTTCATGTGTTTTGTATCGTTTTATGCTGTGTGGATCCCGGATTTCAATGGCGTGTTTTGCCGTTGAACACAGTCAATATTTATGGCAATGAAAAGTACTCATCGAAAAGCAAAGAGACGATGTTTTGAATAAATATTTTTCCACCTTTGGAATGTATGTTGCATCAGACATGACTCACGTCGAAAAGTACTTCTCCAAAAAGGAAAGATCGCACTGAAAAAGAAACGTGGCTAACTAACTACTGATCTTGTCATAAAAGAATATAATATTAGAGAATTGTACGTGTCAAAATACGGCCCGAATTTGCATTGCAGCATCTACGTACGACATGTATGTCGTTAGACCTGAGCCACAGCATACCGCGCGCTTGTGTTTGTACACATTGAAGGTAGAGTCTGGAAACATGACGGCATTGCCCACCCACATGATAAGGTGGCGGGATGCCAAATATTTCCTAACCGCAAAAACGCAAAACAGTTAGTTCTTCTCGCGGTCAAGTCAGCTTTGCTGTCAACTCCCAACCACAGTCCGAGGGTCGCAGGCAGTAACAGAGTCTGCGCGGACATAATCCAAGAGAAAAGTAACAACAACATGTTACAGGACTTGTGTCTGTGCCAACTACATGTACATGTACTGCCATTGGCAAGTAGTGGCAAGTTCATTGAATTATTGGTACTAGTAACTAATTTGCCGGCCCAGAGGTCCACTTCTCTCCATAGAGATGTTGGGATGTTTATTAGTGTTGTCGAAGAACAAGGAGAGATAAAACGTCTTCTACAGGCACGTCACGTATTTCTTCACGCCTTCGTTTGCATTGCCATCCTTACCCAGGGCGCGTCCACCCTGTACCGAGAGGTCATTAACCCCAAGCTAGCCTTCTCCTAGAGAAACCCCGACCCTTGGACCGACTGGCAGTAAATAAAACCGCGCAAACTCACATCCGGGCACTGTTGACTTTGTCTTCAACAGACCACCGACTCAGAATGGTTCTGTTCAAACACTCCGTCCCTGGCTGGAATACATAAAGTACCATAAAAGCGGAATAAATCTCTCACAATATTAATAGCCTGTTCTTGAACTCGAGTACACCCGAAAGAAAAAAAGGCACCTGTTGGAAATGAATTATTGGTTTCTTCCTAAAATTTATTTCTTCCAGCGAAAAGAAAAACGTATTTCTTCCAGTGATCTGGGCTAACAATGAACGGGCCTGGGAGGGCAAATTCTAGACCTTTCCTTTTACGATAATGGTTTTAACCATTAGTAGTGTTTATTACGGAACACCGTGAATTTAACAACAGCTCCTCGCACCATGCACGAAATCCCACCGGCGGAAACGCCACTCCGTCTGCGGACTTTGCCCCGGTGGACTTCGCCCGTCTGCCTGGTTCACGCAGGTAACACGCACCTGTCCTCACCTGTATGACGTCACCTCTGGTACCGGTGCGTCCGGGCACACTGCCCGTGGTAGCGGAGGTATTCTAGCCTCTACCAGGCTTCGGGAGGCGGCTGGAAAGAGTAGTAATTGGTCAAATAGAGAGCTAACAAACCGGGGAAGGTAGTCCGCTAGAGAGTACATTTTGCCGCATCCGGAAATGTACACTCCAGCGGACCAACTCCCCTGGCATGTTATATCTCTATCTGGCCAATTTCTGCTCTTTCCAGCCGCCTCCCGAAGCCTGGAAGAGGCTAGCTAGAGGTATTCGTGTTACTTTGTTTCACGTTCGTCATAACGTGATCCTAGGATCTATACATTGGTAAATAAATATCACAAAATATCATCAAATAAACAAAATACAATCTCTTAATTAAATCAAGAGCTAGTTATTTCTTATTTCTTTAAATCTATTCATACTAACAATTAATCACAAGACTTGGTGACGGCAAACTAAAGTTTTTTCAACTTATATTTATACCGCCACCAACATAGAGGACAGTTGTTTATTTCTTTTCGGGTTCATTTCAAAATTGAAATGTTCAACAGTTGCTCCCGGACTTTGAATCGAGTAAAATGCAACTTTATTTACCACAAGAAATGACGTGATCCTGAGTCCCGTGTACTGGTGCGATATTTGGACTTTGGGACAGTTGTATGATCAGCGGCTATCTAAATATCTAATGTAAGATGTTAGCCTAACATAGATAAGCATTTGATTAGAAAAGGAAACATAAGTTGGGTGTAAAAAATGCGAAGCCGAGGAATGAATTATATAACTTGAACTAATACCGAGGAACGACTGGAGGAACAGTCAAGACGATAGGAATGGAGAAATTGAAATGATGAATTTAGAATAGAAAAAATGCTCCTCACTGAAGGTAACTTTACCCGAACAACTCTCTTGTCGTCTTCAACAGTCGGGTATGTAGAGTGTGACATGTAGAGCCTCGGTTGATACCGGTACCTGGGAGTTTTTGGACATTCTGACAACTGCTATAACTATATCCTCAATTGCTCAAAAGTAAGTGTCCTAAACGCTATAAAGCCAACAACACCAATATGTACTCTCCAAGCAGAATTTGGGTTTTGGCTTATTTTTTGCGCGTTTTTAAGGCTTTTTAAAATCTTTTTTATCGCCAACGTAAAAAAGATTCCAGTGCAAAAAAAAGACGATAAAAAGCCTAAAACACGCAAAATGAGCCCAAACCTCTGCTTGGAGATGGTGGCTATAGAACTACTGACACTGACTACAGTCGTTTACATGTGTGTTCTGTGAGGAGCAATACAATGACCACTAGGTCATACATGTATTAGGTATTGTCGCAGCAAGCTGAAGGTCCTTTTATTCTTTCTACTAAAGCGGGCACGCCCCGTCACTATTTATACGGTAAATCACATGAGCACCAGAACGTACAGCTCTACTGGCCAGTTAGCCACAAGGTGAATAACCTTCAAGACCGCGGAGCTCAAAGTCCGCTGACTGCTATCACCCCTGGCATCTTGTGTAAACACTCTTACTTTGTGAAAATTGGTCTCAATTATACGGCACAGCGTCGTATTGGACGCTAAGTTTGACTTGTCTGTAGAGTAGAAGCGATGCGTGACTTTACTGGCAAGACAGAGATATTGGAAAATTTATGAATATTCTGCGGTTCGTGCTGTAATAATTTTTTGGGCAACGACGTCGAACTTCTGGGATCAGTTTTACCCAGACATCAGAATAAAAGAGTGCTGAAGTTACCACGATCTATTATCGTGCATTGTGAACAAAATAACGAGAAAATAATTTGTACTAAGGGCATAGAAGATCAAGATTTTGTGAATTTTAAATTGTTATGTGTAGGAAATTGTCTTTTAAATATTGGCTGGGCTGTACATTACTGTACATTCTTCGTAGGAAAAAGGCCTGAAGGCTTCAGACTTGGAGAAACTCGTGTTAGTTCGATCGTGGTATTAGCATATCGATTGAAAAGGTATCCAGTAAGACAACGTCAGCAAAAAAGGAAGAATTAAAATGAAGGCTCAGCTATAGTTAGAAGATCTGTCGTGTGCAAGACAGACTGTCTAATAGTACCTGTGATCCTCCGCCAATCGCAGACTCACGTGTGCACACGTGATCACTCATTTGTTCTCCATGTCAAACGTCTGTATTTACCCTGCACTCTACAAACCGCCGTGCACTAATGTTATATATCGTCCGATTTCCTCAGTAAACAGGACGCATGATTTGGACAACCGACAGGACTTTATGAGGGTACACGAGGGGCTAACCGGACAAGAACTCTGGTAGACGATTTCATTAGGTTTACTAAACCATAAAGGAATCATATGATATCATATGATCATAAATCATATAGGGACATTTTGGGGGACAGTCGTAAATGTTAGACAAAATCAATGGTCAAATCTGTCATAGCCTCACTATGAAAATCCCACCACGCAAACCAGACACACAAACCAGACACACAAACCAGACACACAAACCAGACACACAAACCAGATACCGACTGTATGGAGATCGTTTCGTCCATTAACGTCATTTCCGCTGCTGAAGTGAAATATGGCAGTTTTAATAACTGTATCTCTTGCTCGAAAGCTCTTTCATGTCTAGCATTTTTGTCCATCTCTGAACAGATATCCAACCTCTTTGCCCGTACTATACTCGCAAATTGACGTTTAGTGCGGTAATGCCGCCTTTCCTTTGTTTTAGTGTACTCTGAGCACCCTGAAAAGCCAGGTTCTTACACATTGTGGTTATCATGACGTATGTTCTTCTCTTCAATTTTTAATTTTTCAATTATAGAATACATTTTTTCAACGAGAAAATACAAAAGTAACGAAAAATTCAAATTTCTAAAATCAAAGCGCCAATACTTTCTTGCTGTCTTATTTCTTATTTCTAACGGGAAATTCAATTTTAGGGGCGATCGACATCTGATTGGCTAACGTGTAGTCGCTGTGGCAATGGTAATTGCAGACATTGCGTCAGCTTTTCCAAGATATGCGTTGTTTGTTGTATCACATTGCGGTATTCAAAGGGAACTTATGGTCACTTTGATTGCATCATACAGAGACGGAACCATGCTGGGGGTTGAGGAGGTGGTGCCTCACGCCACTCGCGGGCAAGAAGGGGTCATAGGGGACGGCGGGGATGACGAAATACCGGCCGTCAGCGGGGCACAGGGAGACTCCTGGCTTCAGAGTGACACCAGCAGGGAGAACATTTACCCCAACAAATTACAGGAGAGAGGCCGCAGCGAATACCGCGTCCATTGGAAAACCAGCCGTCTGAGAAGAGCAGTTTCAGAAGAGCACAGGTCAACTGCGACAAAACGGCTCGCAGTGGCTGGTATGAAGGGCTGTTCTAACGTCACTAAACACAGTAACAGTACAAACGGGGTCGTGAGAGAGACTACCACCGCCCGGGACGAGGCACGGTCCGCAACGAAAGTCGCACAACTAGGCAACGAAGTCGGGTCGATCGGAAAAGACAAGTCTGTCCAAGAGGTCTTCAGTACCACAAACGTGCGAGGGGAAGGGAACGAAGACAACGAAGTCAGAAAACTGTTAAACGGCCATCTACGCTCTGATTCGAAGTCAGAACCAAACGGCAAAATCCACCCAGACAAAAGTAGAGGCCAGCTGAAGCATCACCAGTGCGCTGACGTATCTACTGAGCAGGGACTAACGGCTAAACGAAAAGCGACTCCTCCAGCAAACGAAAGCTTCGACCACTGTAGCCCTCCAAAGAAGCGGTACACCTCAAACTTAGCTCGAGGTCATATAGTTTCGGTTGTGCCACAAGAATCTGTACAGTCAGGACAACATAAGGCGTCCCCTTCCCTCACTGAAACCGGTCAATTTTCGTCTGTACTTCATAGTTACCAAAGAAGTCAAAACCAAACCAGCAGAACACAAGCAGTAAATTTGTCGGTACGCGACGTCCTAAAGTCGCAAACCGGAGCCAACGCAATGTATACAGAAGTGAAAGCTACAGGTATGGAACAGCAACAACCCGGAGGGTTGGTTTTCACGCCCTTCCAACCGACCATACAGATCGAGGTACCGGCTGTCCTGATGTTCCCCACGCAACAGATGCCACCAAACGGCTCCCAACAGGTGTCTGTACCACCTGTCATTACGGTAAACTCCGGCCTCACAAACGGTGTTCCAAGTAGCGGCCCTCAGATAATGTTTCAGAACCTGTCACCGCATCAGCTGCCAGTTGACGCAAGGCTAACCCAACAAGCTAAACCTCCTCCAGAAAACGTCCAACCCCAGATCTTGTCGTTTGAAATACCACTAAAAGGCAACCAAATCAATGGCATCAACCCTCCTGGTCAGGCTACTTCGATGGCCGCGTCCAACCAAATGACGGCTGCAATTGGACAACACACTATTGCAGACGCAGAATACAAGATCATGCCACAGACAGGCCAACAATCGGAACCCAAGCAGGTGTACACATCCATCAGTTATCAGGGCCACACCACTTCGACGTCTACAACCACGGAGGCCTGCACGTCTTCCGTTAGGCTAAGGCTCAACGGAGCTTCGGTAAGCCAGGAAGGACGGCAGCGACAACACTATGATACTAGTAGGTTCCCTCCGTCTAAAGATATGCTGGTGGGACCATCACATAGCGTCTGTAGCACTCGGGGCACTGGGACACAAATCGACTCCGCACAAGACACTGCAGCAAGACGCAAGAGCGCAGATACACTGACACAACAGCAGCCACCATTCATGATAATACCGAACGAAGTCAACGGGATGTTTCAGTGTCCCGAGCTTGACATCCACAGCATCATGCTGGAAACACACGTCACCAAACAACAGCCTGTCCAGATGAAGCAACACCCCGCCATGATGCCGAACAATGCACGGTACTCTCCTGGACAAAATAGGCCAAAAGAAAACTCGCCCATCATTGGCCGAAATGTACAATACTTGTTGGAAAGGAATGGTTTGAATCAGAGTGCAGTTGGACAACTGACCACCCAAGCTTTTGGTGACCCCCGGCCTGGTCAACCAACAAAGCCGTACCAAGTCCACTGGCCGATCATCACAAGACACCAGGACATCCCGGGCCAAAATGTATCTCCTTCTCGCGAAACCCACCTTCCTCCAGGAGGGCCGTCTTATGTCGCTCAGACTTCGTCCAAAACCAACACATCAGATTTATACAAGCTTCTGAACGCCCCGAGAAACCAGGACCACGACGGGGCCCAAAACCTCAGTTTCCCGAGCTGTACGCCGCCAGGGACAGGTAGCCAGTCTCACCAGTCCACTCCACGGGCAAGTCCGGAGCTCCAGTACGGTCTCCGGGAGGCGGAGACCAACGGAGGCATACACAGGCTGCTTCTGCCCAGGACGGGGCCAATGGAACAAGTGCGAGGTAAGGCTAAAACTTGAACAGATTTCTTCCAACTCTTTTCTGTCTTACTCGTATGAAATTCAAACTCTACTACTGGGTGATTAAGGAGATGTTGTACAGTGGATTCGTGTGATTTTGGGCCCAGTCCAATTGTTTAATCACTTTCTCTGGTTATGAACATATCTTTTGTCGGTTTGGGTAAATGTTAAGAAGTTCCCGTTGGCTGACCAGGAGCAAGTGGCAGGATAATGTCATTATTTAAAGCAACCAAGAAAGTTGTGTGTTTTATTTTGATTCATTGTCACGCAATGTTCTCTAAAATGACGTTTGACAAATGTGTAAGGTGTTGAATTTACCGTTCTTTTTTCTGCTTAAAGGATGAAGTAGATATATGTCTCCTTTCATCAATACACAAGTAAATATTTAGCATTTAAATATTTAGTTTTTGCCCCACCCTCTCACCTGCACGTGATAAGAACGTGCTCGCATACCACTGACCAAAATGGCTGGCCTCTGCTGTTGTCATGGTTTCACATTCATGTGGACACCATATTTGTGTCTGTTTGTTTGTTTGTTTGTTTGTACTTGCACAAGTCGAGATACAATGGCAATGATATTTATTTGCACATTCATGCCCACACGGGCTAAATGCAGTACATTTAGTTTACAGTCGTATAAACACTACAAATCTACAGAAGTGCTACACTACATCTATTGTATACACATGGGCGAACATATTAGGCTATCATTGATTATACAGTTTACCTATTTCTTCCCTCTTTTTAAAACAGGTGTATACGAACTCAAAGAGTTTTTGTATATTATTGTTAGGGGATATCATGATATATACAAATAGATAATCTTTTACTAACTTTAATACATCGATATAACAGTTAGAGATAGAAACACTCTGTCTCTTTTTTTCTGTGTTACATGTGCGTGAACGGGCTACAATTTCAAGGTCGATTGTAGTCTCGCCTTGTCACGTTTTATCCAGAGGACATAACGAACAAACTTGTCAGTCACTCCCTCCCTCATTCCTTCGTTCATTGTCGTGTCGTCTGTTCCAGTTGAGAAACTGTGTGTGTGGTGTGAAGGGTGTCTCTTTTTCTGTCCGGTGACTATAGTCTTGCCTCGTCACGTTTTATCTAGAAGTGAGAAAGAACTAACGAAAACTTAGTCAATCGCTCCTCTTTTCTTCGTTCATTGTTGTGTGGTGTGTTCCAGTTGAAAAGCTGTGTGTGGTGTGCAGGGACCAGGCTTCCGGGTTACACTACGGCGCCATGGCATGCGAGGGCTGCAAGGGATTCTTCAAACGGACGGTCAGTGAAAACGAACTTGTAAGGTGTAACTAAATGTATATAGTGTGGTGCTTTGCTCATTTCTTTTGCTTGAAACAGTCCCTATACCTAGGGAGGGCACCGCACTGTTCACTATTGGTGAAACATAAGTCAACATCTTAACTAGCGATAACATGTTGGTATCGGCTTGACGTAAATATTTGGCTAACTCTTAACGATCGCCCTACTAGCTGGACATCTTACTGTCCAGTGCCACGTACTAGTATCTATCTGTAGCAATGCATGAGTGGCTGGACTTGTCCTCTGTTCTAGATTTAGATTTGGATTGAGAACCTTGCAGATAAAGCACAATTTTCCACGTTACGTTTTAAACTAATTTTCTTGCATTTGATTTCATCATCCCACCTTTGAAACAGATTCCGTGTGCATGTCTATGACATTGAAGGGTGATTGCTAACTAAAATTTACCACACTTAATCTGTGAGTGGCGACTAAAGGAAGCAGCGTTCACGAATGTCTATGTATGTAAGCCTGCACCTTTTGTAATCCATAGAACAGATTGCATGAAGTGATGGACGAACATATTGTTGTGATATTTCCTCCAGGTACAGAACAGGCGACTGTACGCATGCGTGCGCGGAGACTACAGATGTGAGGTGATGATGCAGAAGAGGAACCTGTGCCAGGGCTGCCGCCTGAGACGGTGCATGCGCAATGGCATGATGATCGCAGGTGAAACGAGAGGAATAGTACAGATTATCTAAGGATAAATGCAGGAGTGTATGATATAAACATTACTTACAATTGTCTGACATGCCATATACTATAGGTTCCTATCTTTATTCGAATGGTACCTCAACAGTCATACAAATAAATAGACGGACAAGCAGACAGGCGTGAAACGCAAAGCAAACAGATGCAATCAAATTCTTACATTGTGTAAATATTTTTAATATGCAACTCGAATGCAATTTGACTTCAAGACTGTGTATTCGTTAATGTTTTAAAAAATGAATGTGCATCTTTGAACGCAATTCAGCTTTCATCTGTAATGTTCGTGATAAGCAATAAACCATTTTGATCGATTAATTGATTGATTGATTGATTGATTGATTGAAAGGTAACAGACGCTACAGCAGAGAAATAAACAATACTTGTATATTCCTAACAAAGGTCTTATTTTGCCAGCTGTTCGAGAGGACCGTGTGCCTGGAGGCCGGGCCAAACGGAGACGGAGGGAGTGGATGAATAAGAAACTGGACGTGACAAAACAGCAACCTGTTTCTCCTGACCCGGAGACCGGCAGTGGTATCGACAGCCAAGAGGGGACTATGACGGGAAAGGACAGCCCTACGTCACATCCGGTAGCCTCCAGCAGCAGGCTTGTGAATGAACTTCTGGCGGTAAGTTTTAGAATATTGGTACATCAATGGTCTATGTAGTTTTAGTGCTCATTAAAGCCCATTTGGGTAATGTAGACGCAATTTCGGCCGCCAAAAAGTAATTTCTAAATTTTTTTATGTAGGCAAAAGAAATGTGTAAAAGCTGACTTTTTGTCGACATTTCCAGTGTGAAGAACCCGAGGTGAACTTCAAGAGCGACGGCGAGGCAACTGAGCATGCGCACATCCTGTACGACCTGGAGGACGGGCGGTGCCACACTGCGCATGCGATACAAAACCTGGGAAACTATTTGGTGGCCAGGCTTGTTAGGTTAGTAGTTATAACTTTCTGTGATGACAGTGAAGACTATCGTATGTTTTCAGATAAGATAGCTGTTTCTCAGATAATCATATGAGAAAGATTGTCCTTTCCAAACACCTGAATGCCGTGTAAGTTTTTGTCCATTCTTTATATTTGTGAGGGTAGTGGGAGGGGCCCTTATGTTTACTACAAGCTCTCATAGAATGTCTCAGTCCTGATTTCTCACCTGTAACGTCTGCTGTACCGTTTCAGGTGGCTGAAGCTGTTCCCCTGCCAGGACAAGTTTGAACAGCAGGACTTGTCTAGACTTCTGAGCAACAAATGGATGGAGCTGACTCTCATGGACAGCATCGTGCAACCGAGGCTGTATCCACGGCAACGGGATGACGTCACAGACATGCCCCGGATGACGCTGATGCAGAGGATCTACTACAACGAGCTGAGGTTACAGAAGTACCTCGCCACAGCGAAAGGTAACATGCTAAAAACTTCATTCAATCTCTCTCTCTCTCTCTCTCTCTTTCTTTGTGTGTGTGACAGTGAGAGAGAAAATGTATGTCACACACACATGCACAAAGAGAGTGAGAGAGAGAGAGATCGCAGAGAACAAACAAACAAACAAACAAACAAACAAAATGGCAGGAACGTCTGGACAGAAGCAGACATAGTACACGGTGCCCAAATTTGCCTTTAAACTCTTAAGGTGTCGATGGTATGAAGGACAAGTGCTTATGATAATTTTATTTTGCCGTATCTCACTTGCACTCAGGGTCGAAAATTAACAACAACATACGGGACACCGGAGAAAGGAGAAGACAGACGGACGAACTTACTGACATCTTGGAGCGTCTGCATCACGTGACAACGTCGCTGCGAAAGTTGCACATGAGCAGGGAAGAATACGTCATCTTGAAGGCCATGGTGCTTCTCAATCAAGGTCATTACGTCTTCCATGGTTTACGTAAGAGAAGTCAAACCCTTCAGACATAGTTTTAGAAAAAAACCTTTTACATGTATATCCTGAACTCCCTTTCTATGTTCTTTTATCTTTGTTATGGGCAATTAACCTTCGGACAGGTATTTGCAATAAACTCATTATAATAATTTTTTTCTTCTATCAATTGAATGAGCGGGACGTAATAGCCTCCTTTTCAGGCGTTCCCGGATCGGTTTTTTTTTGGGGGGGGGGTGTATTTTTTTATCGCACGCAAATTATAGAAGCTCCGGCCGGAAACCCTTATAGAAGCTCCGACCGGCAACCACGGAGATGTATGTAGGGTTCCGGGAACGCCTGAAAAAGGAGGCTAGGGACGTAACGGCTATGGAAGAAGTAATTGAAATGCTTTGTCACTCTTTTCCATGGCATGGGGGGTGTGGGGGCTTGTCATTTGTTTACGATATTGTTGTACATTGTACTCCATAGACGGCCCTCTCGACACCACACCTGTGCTGTACCAGCTGCTGGACGAACTGTGCCTGACTGAAAACTGTCGTGCGGATCCGTCTCGCCTGGGGTCGCTGCTAGTACGTCTGCCCGAACTTACATCTGCTGCCATAATCGTCAAGGAGGAGGACGGCAGACTACCCTTCTTCTTGGACGCGCTTCTTTGTAGATGAACACTTTTTTGCCCAAGAGATGTGAAATAGTATTACTTCATTCCATTTTTTACTGTTAGACGTCAAACATAGTTACAAAATACAAACCTTTGAATGGTGCTACTTAAATGTACAATAGAGTGGTTGATACCAGGTACGTATTCACTCTCTTTCTGGTATGAAAAGGCTATTCGTAATGTTATGCCGTCTGTTGTGCATTGATGAATACTGTACATATGTTTTTCTGTGTTAGAAAATAAACCGTAGTTATATCAGCAGCATGTACATGTATTTATCCCTTGTATTGTATGGTTTTCCGTTGTGTGTGATATGATACCGTATAGACCCACAAAATTATGTTTGTATAGAATGATTACTCAAGAACGAAGCCAAATAAATCATGTAAGTAACGTTAAATGATGTTGACCGGAAGGTCCCATGATTTATCCAATAAAGCAATTTGTTCACAACACCTTG